AAATAAATAAGGGTCCTCAAGGGGGTTGGCCCCCCCCCCGGTGTTTTAAATAAAAATAAAATCGTGTAAGATACCAAACCTACTCAAATGGAAAGTGGGATGAAATTTTTAGTGACAGTTCGGTTATTCGGGCACTCTGTGAGATCGCTTGAACATTCAAGTCCACTGAAACTGGTCAGTAGTGAAAGTGACACTCTTCCTGGATAACAGTGACAGCTCTATTTTTAGATACATATGCGACTTACTAAAAGTGGCCCAAACGCTTATCTGACACCTTTGACCTCACTACAGGTATACTTATCTATATACATATAGTGATGAGTCTTTGAACCTTGTTCCTCAGTAACGCAGCATGACAGTCAGACGTAGATATTGAAACCGTTTATGATCTTGATTTGGTGGAGAAATTCAATATACATAATATCGATGATATTGCCAGTTATTAGATCACGGGGGGGAAGGTATAAAGAGGTATCCTTATTTTTTCTATTGATCAGCTCTCTTGGGTGTGTTTTCAGGTGTGTGTGTGGGGGTGGGGGATATTGTTGAATTCCCCTTGTCTTTTATTTTCAATATTAAATGCAATGTGAATGGCACCTATAACAAACACAAGAAAATAATTCCGATCCTTGTCGCACCATTCATTCTCTCATGTGTAGGGAGAGGGCAGGATAACAATGGTAAGTCTTCGAGTAATCGTAATCGTGGTGCAGTCGTAATCGCATGCATACTTGGAATTTTATGTAGACTGTAGGGTTTTTACTAGATTTTGGTGACATAAGAAGTTCTTGCTGATCTCACCATTATAACACTGCTTGTTTTCTTACCCCTGGATCTACACTTAGTGTCAAATAATGAAATTGAAACCGCTTATCTTTGAATGAAATGGCTTCTGAAGAAAATGAATAAAACGAAAAATTTTCGTTTTAATGACGAATAGCAAAGAAGATTCATGTTTTTATCAAATCACCAACTGACCGATGTATTTGCGAGAGGGAGGTAACCACGCTACAATCAGAAAGGGGAAAACACATCAGGACCTGTCACCTGTCTTAACGAAAAGTAGAAGAAATCTTAGAATGTTCCATGGTCCAAGGGTTGTTTCCATGAATATAGATACGGGTATTCCCAATCTGACACTTATCAAAATTAAGTTTTCCAAATCTATATATAGAAACTACGTCATAGTCGTTTCGGTTTCGTAAAGCAGTGTTTAAAAAGGCTCGCGCTACTGTTTGCCCGTGTGTACACCACATTTTTCTCACAGACATCAACTCATTCAAACTACTTAACTGTTATTCAAAGCAATAGGTTTAAATTCAGTACGGTAGTTATATCACACGTAAGTTGTTTTAAACTTTATGAACTATTTTAAATTATATAAACAATAAACTAGAATAACTTACACCGATTTTAAAAATATATATAAAATATTTTTTTTTTAATTTTCGAATAATAACAGATTCAGATTAGTGATGACAAAATTCACATCAAAGGTGAGATTAAATAGGAATGAAATTATCAAAATGTGCAACGTTTTAAGAAAAATGTTAATAGATTTTTTCGCCCAAAATATTCTCTTTCTTTATTTTTTTGGCTGATCCCAAATAAAAGTAATTTACCAAATCATTATTTATCTAACTAGTTATGGCCCACCAAACAATGTCAGGGGCAATGCGTGAACTTCCCATCTACTAACGTTATTTGTCAAAACGTACATTCACGTTATGAGCTTTATAAGAATCCCATTTAGTGCTGCCCCCCTCCCCCATGAACGCCATCACATACTTTTTTTACGCCCCTGAACTATAAATGTATTCATATTATAATGTCACCCCCTTTTACAACCCCAAGATTTATTACATCATATTTAAATTTCGACTTTATTTCCGTAAGTCAAAAGAAACTATTCCGCACCAAACACACTGACGTGCGCTATTGTTAGGAATCTCATTTTGCGCAGCACTCGGGATTATTTTTGTAAAAATCCCACACTGTTGAACTCATCATTACACCATAGGCCTAGATTCTTTCCTACGTCCATAGGCCTAGATTCTTTCCTACGTCCATATGCCTAGATTCTTTCCTACGTCCATAGGCCTAGATTCTTTCCTACGTCCATAGGCCTAGATTCTTTCCAACGTCCATAGGCCTAGATTCTTTCCAACGTCCATAGGCCTAGATTCTTCCCTACGTCCATAGGCCTAGATTCTTTCCAACGTCCATAGGCCTAGATTCTTCCCTACGTCCATAGGCCTAGATTCTTTCCTACGTCCATATGCCTAGATTCTTTCCTACGTCCATAGGTCTAGATTCTTCCCTACGTCCATATGCCTAGATTCTTTCCTACGTAGATACTGACTTGTATTGATTTGTATTTAATAATTAATGTATTAGTAACTGCACATTGTTTTGAAATTATTTTTTTTTTTAATCTGAAAAATAATAAATGAAACAAAATGTTAAATGTTCACAGGACAATGCCTCCAACAAATCACCCACACCAGAATGGCGTTCATGGCAGCAGGGATTCTCATGTCCCCAACGGTCGGCCCACGCCCATGGAAGTAGAGAACGGGAACGGACTGACCATCACAGCGTCACTAAGTGAATCTCCTCGTTTTGCTAGAAGGAACCCGCCAGTCAGTTCAAATGAGTGTGTTACCGTTAGTCCAAGGCCTGGGGATCGACCAACTACACACATGGTTCTCAAACAAGGCAACGGAGAACTGAAAGTTGTCGAGACTAGGCCCCACGCTGCAGTCAGTGGACAAGCTGGTGTCCTAGGAACCATTACCATTAGTGAGGCTAATGATAATTTTCAAATGTTTGTTAAAAACTTTTCTGACAGTAAAAGCTATACATTTGTGGTACAGAAAAGCTACGGAGTTGAGGAGCTGATGGACATGATTTTTGAAAAATTGCGCATTCCTAAGGATCAGCAACTTTTGACCTATGGTGGCAAAAATCTGGTGGTTGGAATGACCCTTGCGCACTACGATATAAAAGAGAACTCCACTGTTTTTCTGACTGGGCGTCTTCGAGGTGGCTAGAAGATATGGAACATGAAATCACTCAACGATAAGCCCTCAAAATATTACCAGTTGAGCCCCAGCAGCAGAATGGCGCGGTAAATGGACTGAACTAGTGAGAGAGCAAAACAATTTGCGGAAACATAAAATCTATCTTTTTTGTATTGAAATGATTTGAATGCTTATTTGTAACTAATGTGATACATAATAAAAATAACATGAAATGTATTGCACAATAACATTGGACTTCGAATGTGATGCTGTTCTGTTATTGTCATGTAATTTAGTTGCAAGAATTTGGATCCAGAGACTGAAAAGTCTGTGATGAGACACTCTGCAGTAATGTCAGCTCCTGGTGCCACAATATGCCATGAGAGAACATTCATCTTAAGTTCCTCAATTTGATGAATTGTAAAATTTTAACATATACATTGTTTTGCTCTAATCTGAAGTGGAGTGAGCTTTACAAAAAAAAAAAAAAAAAAAAAAAAAAAAAAGAGAATGGGCGGAGGATATGTTCTCTTTCTTTTAATGATATTTTAAATATCAAGGACACATGTCTGTGTGTGTGTGTGCGTGTGTGGATGTGTGTGTATGTATGTGTGTGTCCACCCATCCAAACCCTCACTGGAATCCATCACGACACTTGAACATTTGAAACTTTGTAAACTTTATTAAGGGCAACACGAAAATGGCAGGAGTTGGTGTTTTTTTTTAATGCAAAGTTTTATATAATTGTTCAACTCTACACTTATAGATATTATTAATAGGCCTATAAGTCTTGAATGGATGCCTAGAATATTGTCTTAATTTATAAGCGAGGATTTTTAGTTTGATTTTTTTTTTTATTTATTTATGTTTTGTAGATATTGTTTTGTAATAACTTTATTTTAGTATTTTGTATTCATTTTACCATTAATAAACAAATAAATTCTAATCTAAGCAAAAACTTGTCTTTACAAAAATAGATATTGCTTTAGATTAGCTTCAAGTATGAGAATATTATTTAGTATGTCAATTGTATCTTTAGGCCTCTAGCCCACGACCCTAAGCAAATAAATACCAAAACAATTTGGATCGAGGCATTTTGTTGGATTTTTTAATATTGTTTTTCTATGTGTATGTAACCGTGTGTAGAGTGTGTGGAGGGACGTCTGACGGTTTTAAGTACCGGTATATATTTTATTTCCTGAACTCAAGAAATTCACACCCTGAGAACAAGCCCCATTCATTTGTTTTTAGAGTGTTATATAAGAAGGATTGGTAGAAGAGAAGGCCGACGAAAAATCCGAAGAAAGGGGACAATATCTGAAAAGAACAAATAGTACAGGTTAACAATGTCCTAGCTAACACTGAATGTTACAGCTAACAATAAACACTGCTAAATAACTATGTAATTAAAAAATATAAATTAAAGGACTGCATTCAAGCCTGGTAAATGAATGAAATAGCAAAACGATTCATGTGGAAGTTTGAATTAGAGAACAGGACAAAAGGATAAGGACGTTTCGCATTAAGCCTTCTTCAGCTAACAGTATTAACAAAAATATCACAAAGACCAGAGCAAAGTAAACAACTCAAGAAATATCCATTGTAGTCCCCGAAGTGGGAACACATGAAGCGAGAGAACACAAATATTGACGCTGTGAAAAATGAGGTCCACAATAAAAATGGACCAGAATATCCAGGGATACATAAACACACAGCAATAAGAAAATAAATGAAATATAGGGAAACAGAGAAACATTAGTAGGATAGTATTTGATTAGTACCACATGGAGTTATGGTGCCAAACAGCTGAATAAATTTACTTTCCATTTTAACCATCTCTGGTGTGTTACTGCATGAAATCAGTGCCGTAATGGTCACATCCAATGCACCTTTATGTTCATCTATGTTGAAATGAGAAGAGACTGGGGAAGGTTTACATTGCTCAATATACCGGAGATGTTAAGCAAACCTATCAGCCAATCTTCTCCCACTTTCATCTATGTAACTAGATTGGCATCTATGCACACAATCGCATATATTACATTACGACTGACACAGGTGGAACCCTCTTTAATGGTACCTTTAGGGACGCTAATGCTTTCAGTTTGGAGTGTAAAGGGACAAGTCCTACAGCGGCTTCTTAACCATGGTTTAGTACCAACGTAAGACAGTTCAGATCGAAGGCGACTATGAACCAGAAGATCACCTAGATTTCTGTCCCATCTAAAGACAATCAGTGGAGGGGATGAGAAAACCCTGTTGGTATCAGGGTCAGCAAGAAGTATGCTACGATTTTTTAGGAATATTTTTTTGGCAGTTAATTTGTGAGGGTGATAGGTTAGAATCAGTTTGGTACGATCTTCATTGTTGTTTTGGCGAGTTTTGAAAGCATCTTTTCGTGTGATCGTGCCAATGCGACCTAGTGCTGAGACAAGAGTAGTTTCAGGATATGATCTGGAGCGGAAGAAATCCATCATTTCATTGGCTCTTTCTAGAAATTCCTCATCAATTTGGCAGAGACACCGTAGTCTAAGAAGTTGTGAGAAAGGTATAGAGTCTTGGCATGATTTGGGTGGGAAGATGAATACAAATGGAACCTCAAATATTGTCTGAAATAAACAACAAGTTCAGATATGAGCCAAAAAATGCATCCCTGCATTTTTTAAATTTTGCCCGACTGTCTATAGCCCCCTAAAATTTCTGAACCCTTTCACTCACGCTGATCAATAGTACAGTATGGGGTTAATTATAAGCTTGTGAAAAAATGCTTACTCTGGGGCACGCCACCAACGGAGTGAATTCAGTTCATTTGTGGCGTTGGGCGACATAATGCCTCCCACAAAAACCTTTTAAAAAATATCTTTCCCCGTTCAAAAAAGAAACATTGCATTCAATAGTAGTCCAAAAAAATACACCTCTTGATTGTAGATTAATCCAAAAATAATTTGGAGGGAGCAGGCTCCCCAGTCCCCTCTAGCGATCAAGTTTCATCGGCGCCCTTTATTTCCGCCCTACTTACCGATGAAAATGATTGATACATTGCCTAGTGGCGCAGCTACTATTAGTGCCTCTATGGGCAGGTAAATATTTTTGCCGTCCTCCCTTTATAATACAAACTCTGCAGTTGTTCGAAAATGCCACACCTGCATACAGAGCGGTTCTTAGATGTAGGCCAAGAAGCCTACCTCCTAGGACTCCACTGCCAAAAAGGTTCCGCTGGACGCCTTTTTTTTTTTAGCCCCCAACTTGTGAGGCCATATATTTCAGAAAAACACTTTTTCTTTAATGGAGGAATTATAAATATGATTATTGGTTACATGCGAGCAAAGAGGAAACAGTAACGAAGGCAAAGTGGAAGTACCACAGTGGTGTGTGATGTTTTCTCCTCGGTTACGGTGGAGCTCCGCCCCCCCCCCCCGGACTCCCTTTCCGGAGCTCCCTACATGCGCTCCATGTCTAGGGCCCCTAAAATCCTAAGAACGTGTCTGCTTATGAATAGAAAGTGACAGCTGGGTGGACCACCCCATGCAGCCTATTTCGACGACACTAGCAGAGGCGTAACTACAGTATTTGGCGTCGGGGGACAAGATTTTTTTTTTCTTCACAAAATTCTTACACTGATTATTTTCCACCATTAAATACCATCAAAGCCCATTTGCCCCCCTTGCTATTCTGGCGCCCCGGGGCATATGCCCAATCTGCCATCCCTTAGCTATGCCTCTGGTCACTGGCAAATGGCACAGCCCACCCTCCCAAAAATTTGAAACGCCCCCCGGGGAAATCTCTCTGAAAGAAACACTGGCAGGAGGGTTAAAATAAGTCCAAACTCGAGAACTTGTCAACAATTCATAGGTGTGCATCAAATCTAGAAAACCAGTGGCGTAGCTAGGGTCTGTGTCACCCAGTGGGGTAAACTTATGGTGTCACCCCCCTACCCCGACTTTTAAGATGTAAGATTTGTTGTTGTTAAAATAAGTCCCCAGTATAACAATGACAAGAACAATAACACATTAATTAATGGTTAGGAGGTAAATGTATTTAAGAACTGTATTTAAAATTATAGGAGCCAGAATTATCAATACATTGATCTTGGGCCCTAAAAATATGGAAGAAACAGAAGTAACAACGTTAAGCTATAGTTATTTTTACATTAAATTTACTTTATTGAAAATTTTCCTTTCCTGATCTTCAAAGTTGCAAATCTTCCAACCCCTTTATCAAATTCAATATCCTTCACAGTAGCACCTTCAACTGATAGTAGAGCCAGATCAGAAGAAAGCCTTGACTATCCCATGGTGGATCGTAAAAAGGTCTTGATAAGCCTTAGTTGTGAAAAGCTCCGCTCACATGAAGCCACAGACACTCAGATCGAAAGACAATTGAAGGTTTAGCGAGAGTAATGGAAGAGATTCTAGGTAGGAGTAGGTAGTATCATTAATCTATGAATTTCAAAACATCAAATACTGACCAGTCCTTGAATTTGTGAAATTCAATATCCTCTGCCTTTAGGTGTCTTCTAAGCCTTGGTGTTTCTTTTAAACGTTCATCCTCTGATACTTCATCATAGAAAGAGGTTAATTTTGGAACAGACACCAATAACACTTCTTCAATTGTTGATAGAAACTCTTGAGTTGAACAGCCCCAAACATATCTGCTACTTCCTTGATCACTGTTATTGAGTTCAGAATGAAAGCGAGCAATGCACACTCGAATCTTCCAGCAACTATTAATTGTTTTCCTTTCATTCTCTTCCTAAACCTGTGTGTTGTCCCAAACGAAATTCCATAAGGGTCTGATTTTAAAAGAACAATTTCAATATCATGTTCCACAAAGTGAAAGCGCTTCTCTTGCAGAAACAATCTTAAGGCCTCTAGGTCGGTCACCATTTTGTCCAAAGTAAAGCCTTTAGTCTGCAGATATTTCTGACGTTCTCTGTAAGATGAACCTCCTCAAGTAGATCAGCCCAAAGATAAAGGTAGCAGATAAAAGTTAGCTGTATAACAATCGTGCTCTAATGTTAAGAGATGGTGGAAGTGACGAAAAGATTTATTTTTGAGTATTTATGGGTTTCAATAGATTTGGATTCAAAAACATTTTTTTTTAAATTTAAATAAACTTAAATTAATTATTAAAAGTTATTAGAAAATTGTATAAAATATTATTTTGTCGACCCTAAAAAATGGGTAAAAATCGTCCGATCATATCACATTTGGTTTCAGTGGAAAGCTTCGTTTCTCAGAATTTAGATAAATATTGCTTCCTGTCATTTAGGAAAGTTACCAAACACTTGAATAATGGTCAAAAGGGTGTTTATGACGCATCATTGGATTAGTTACACAAGTGGAAAATTTACGTAAAATGGGTTTTGTCCTTTTATAAAATGCCGTTAGACCGAGCGTCATGTGTTCTGTAAATATGCAAATTTTCAATTTGGTGTCCCCCCCCCTGGGATGGTGTCACCCACTGTGTTCCGCACCCCTAGCTACGTCACTGGTTAACCCTACAAATGGGTCAAAAGCCATTTTTAAACGGCGTCTTCTTGACCTAATTATAGGTTCACCTCATTTCTGAAGCATCAACATTGAACTTTTAATAAAGCACGCTTTAGGATAGGTTACAAGTGTGGACAATTTCTGTGTGATCGGTTATCCTTTTATGAAAATTAGTTGTTCCGAGCAGTGTGTGCTCTGTAAATATGAAATTTTTGCAATGGGGTGTCACCCCCTGAGATGGTGACACTCGGTGCGGTCCACACCCACTGCACCCCCCCCCCTAGCTACGCCACTGAGGCGCAGTGTTTCATTCATGTTGTAATCACGTTTTTAAATTAATTAAGTATTTCAATATCTTTAACTGAGTCACATCTCACGTAAAGCTTTACTATTTAGCATCTGAGAATTGTGTGCTTTAAGAATAAATAAATTATTCTGAATATACTTTATTTGGTGTTGATCTTATTTTTAAAGGTGTAATAACATGCAACCCGCGAAGAGTGGGCTACCGATCAAAATGGCCCGTGACGCCATGCTGCTTGGCCGCTCAGCTGATGACATGTACAGGATAATTTCATAGAATTCATGTTAAGTTGTTGTTGTTGTTGTTTGTTTTTTAGAACACACCCAGATGCTATGTGGACACAAAAATAACATGATTAAAAATAAAGAAAGTGCAATTTTTGTGTTATGAGGTTATTGTACCCACCCTTATCCACTTTGTTGTTTGTTTTGTGTAAGTGTGAATCTTTTGAGCGATTGTATTCTTCAGCTGGGTTAGATTTGTAAAAAATCTGGCATAATAATCACATGCACGTTATACCGAAAGCATGGGGACTCTTTAATATATTTTTTACCCCTTAGAATTATGAAAGTTGAAAGGATTTAATTACTTCAAAGTAGTATGATTAGTAATGTTTGATAATTACTTTATTTTTTTAATAACACAACAAATATTAACATACCTGTTTTTTGAAAGAAAATAATTTTTTTTATTGACATCAAAATCACATGGTAAAAAATAAGTCTAAAAATTAAGTGACATAAGTGACAGAATTGTTGTTGTTGTTTTTTTTTTCCAAACCTATTGAAGCAATTTCTTTGTGTAAATAAAAAATGTTCGATATAAATAATGGAACATAAATGTCATTGTAAACGAAACTTTTAAAAATCTTTCAAATTTCATCTCATTAAATAGGATTTAATAACTTTTGCTCTTTTAAAAGCTTTTAATTTATAAGAATCAACGCTTAAAAGCATTAAGTTTGTATGCATACATGTGCTGGAATCGCTGTGCAAATTTAATTGTAGGTGGGTTTTCAAACACAATCTCTAGTATTTGTTGTATATCATCTCAATAAAACTCAGCAGCCATTGAACATCATCTTTAAAATCACACAATTAACACAATCAAGTTCAACATTCACTAGTACCCCATTTGAATCAAGTTCAACATTCATAGTACGTCGTCTTAATAAGTCTTGGTACAGCGTTTCGATTTATGATTAAATTTCATGGTAAATCATATTAACTAATCAATGAAGCCATATAAAGAGCATATTTGGCTTGGCCACTCAGCTGGTGTAGTGGATAATTTACAATTGTGTCTTCGACGCCTATGATCATTTTATTCAACCCCCCACCCAACCCCCAACCCCCAACCCCCCCCCACCCCAACCTTTGCGAAGAACTCGTCCCACTTTTTGTTTGGTTAAAGTCGACCAAACTGGGCATGTTTCTGTTCATCGATCTGATGAAATTAAATCGAATGTTTACTTCTGTTCTATCAGTAGAAGGTGACCAATAGCCTTTCACAGAATTACCGCATTGCATTACATTGGAAGTTACATGCTAATAATAATAACAATAATAAGAGGTCTTATATAACGCGGTACCCAAGCCTAGGGCTGGGGTCACCGCGCTGTACACACATTTTTTTTCAAAAGAGACATAATCATGACATTAAAATAAAATACATTTATGAAATAAAGAACAGCAATGTATATTCACCCACCCCACCACATAACTTTTACAAGGCAAACCATGGACGGCAGCCAGCATGATCATTTATCGGTCAGAGGAGGCGAATCAGTCAGGGTAGTATAATTTAAAAAGATATGTTTTGAGTGCAGTTTTGAAGGCCTGCGTGGTTGGTATATTGCAGATGTGTAGTGGCAAAGAATTCCATTGTTTGGGGGCGCAGAAAGAGAAAGATCGTTCACCATATGTTTTAGTGTGTGTCTTGGGAACCGACAGAATACGCGTGTCTGCAGAGGATCGAAGCTGTCGAAGGGGTGAATAGACAGAAAGAAGTTCGGTTAGATAGGAAGGGCAGGAATCCAAGAAAAAGTTGTCACAGAGAACAGACAACTTGTAGTCAATGCGTGCCTCTATAGGTAGCCAATGAAGGGAATGGAGTAGTGGAGTGACGTGATCACGTTTTTTTGCCTTTAAAACTAGCCTAGCAGCTGAGTTTTGAACTTTCTGCAGTTGTTCTATGCAGTGTTTTGGTGAACCTGACAGAAGAGAGTTGCTATAGGCAAGACGAGAGAGAACAAGAGCACAGACTAGAGTTTTTGTAGCGCTAACTGTGAGGTAGTGGCGTATGGAGCTGATCTGACGGATAGTGGTGTATGCTGAACGACAAATGTGAGATATGTGTTTATCGAGCGACTTGTTGTTAGAAAGAATATAACCAAGATTCCTAGCAGAGGGTGTAAACCGTACGTCAGAGTTACCTACTTGAAATGAGGTTGGAAGAGTTGAGGTAGAGGATGATGTGTGATTATGGATGAGGAGTGCTTCCGTTTTGCTACTTGATCACTTCACGCTCTCCTCAAAGTACATCTTTTCAGATACTGAACAACATCTTTTTTCAGGTACAAATCGACATTTACATCCTTACAATAAAAAGGACATCAATTCTCATGTCCGTCAATACTTCAGTCTATTCTCCTGATGAGGGTAAACAAACTATAAAAAAATTACTTCCATAGCTCATCGCTGAATTATTTCTTGTTAATTTTTTTCTAACCACCTCAAAGGCACCCGATCAGAAACACGGTAGTGTCCCTTTTGATACCGTAGTGCTCAAGGGTCATTCCATCTGCCAGGTTTTTGCCCGCATAGGTCAAATGTTGCTGATCTTTAGGAATGTGGAACTTGTCAAAAATCATGTCCATCAGCTTCTCAACGCGATAACTTTTTTCGACTTCGAACGTATAGGTTCTGCTGTCAGAAAAGTTGTTTACAAATATTTAAGAAGTGTGGGGGTTGATGGGGGCGTGAATGACCTCCCTGGTACACATGTATCAAGTGTCTCACCAATAGTTCCTAGGACATCAGCTTGCCTTTTGACTGCTGCCTGGACATTTGAGGCGTGAGGTCTATTCTCGACAACATTCAGTTCTCCGTTGCCATTGTTTGAGAACCGTGTGTGTAGTTGGTCGCTCCCCAGGCTTGGACTAACGGTAACACATACACTTGAATGAGATGCCCTTAGTGACGCTGTGATGGTCCGTTCCCGTTGTCTACTTCCATGGGTGTGGGACGACCGTTGGGGACATGAGAATCCTTGCCTTCTTGGACTGGATTTCTATTCACGTTGTTGGGAGTTGGCGCCATTTTTCTGTGAAAATGATTTAAATTTTTTTTTAACAATTAAGTTTTTAATTTAAAATAACTAATATTTCTTACGGGAAAACACTTCATTTTAAAACCATAGACCTGAACGGAAGGATTCCTTTGTCTCCTCCTTATCATCAGAAATAGTTAGCAGTGCAATTCAATTCTTGCACTTCACAAAAACGTTTTATTAAAAAATGTTTTTTTTTTAATAAATAATGATAAATTGTATCTATTTTACGTCTTATCTATTCATTCAGCTGTTACTTTGAATTTCAAACTTTGACTGACTTTGATGATCGACTTGAATAACAAGACTAATTGATGCTAGTAAATGACTTTTTCCATAGCCCTTATACCGAAAGCCACTACGCATTATGTAAAGTTCTATTTTAATCCTGAACACGCAATAGTGGTGACGGGAATACCCATTACGACATGGTGACGGGACAACTGAATGTAGGACAACAGTTAACCCGCTATAACTGACTACACGATTTAAGAACACATAAGTAAACTAGTGAACACACAGAAAATTGGCCACACGGACGAGTGGACAAGTGAACACACAGACAAGTTACCACACTAGAAAACACAGAAAAGCAGAGAACCTTCTCAATACATGGGTGAGGAAAATCTTCAGAAAAATATACGGCCCAGTGATGGAAAATGATGTCTGGAGAATACGTACAAATCAAGTGCTGTACCAATTGTACACAGACCCACCCATACTCGCAACAATAGAAAAAAGGGCAGACTGTGATGGGCAGGACATACTGAAAGGATGCCGGATTGTAGAGCAGCAAAAGTGAAATACATGCAGAAACCTAGGGGCAGACGACTCACCGGTCGCCCAAGGTTGAGATGGATTGATGATGTGGAGTAGGATTTACACCAGATGGGGGTTCGCGCATGGAGGCGGAAAGCCATGGATCGTTCCGGAAATAAGGATGTGGTGGAGCAGGCCAGGGCCTTAAATGGACTGTAGCGCCACTGATGATGATGATGTACACAAGTTTCCCGAAGGCTTTGAACGTCGTTGCTGAATATGCGAACCAGGGGAAACTATCGGTTCACCACGAGCTTTCCGAAGGCTTTCAAGGACATTCTGAACATGTGAACCAGAGGCCAATGGCAGATCGTGAAGCCGATATCAGTTAGATGTACATTCAAAGAAGTGAAATGTCACGAGAGGCTTCTGTGACGTCATTAAAGACGGGGTCAACGGAGGAAGGGAATCCCCACCTAAGTAAACCAAAACTCCAACTGACCTTTGACCCTCTGAAATCACTGCGCGAAGTTTTAAGATGACGAAGAGAATTAATGTTTGACGACTATGGGAGGAAGGAACTTGACAAAACTTTTAAGCAATAAAATTTTGTTGGAAGCAGGCGTGAGCGAGTAAGAAAAAGGACATTATAAAGTGCAATGAATGTGAGGCGGATCAGTCGCGCGCCAAGAAAGAGAGAAGTTCAAGGTTGAAATTTTAGTAGCAATATTGAATTAATTATGCGCAGAAGTTTGCCCACGTCTGGAAAATTATTCTCTATTATTGGAGAGTTTCTTGTTGAGTTCAATCACGTGACAGATATTAATGATATAAATTCTTTACTAGTGTATCTATCTATATTATATATTATATAATAATAATAATAAAGTTCATTTCAAAAACACGCTTCATCCCCAGAGGCTCGAAGCGCGGTACAGAGTCAACAAAAAACAAATCTATAATTTACCACATTTAAAACAAACGCAACACTACAAAAACTAATTACAAGCATACAATGACAAAGTCTTTCTAGCCATTTCAACCCGGAGCAACACAGCCATTATGCATTAACTGGAAAATAAGGTTGACAATCATCCCAGAAGGTGTTTGCGAAATAGATGTGTCTTTAAATCGGTTTTAAAGGACTCCAATGTCTGGTTGTTTCTCAGATCGACAGGAAGGGCCAAATTGTTGGACCAACAAATGCGAAAGTGCGCCTTCCGTAAGTCTCAAGGCAAACACGTGGTGTCGAGAGTTTGCCACTATCGGATGAGCGGAGCTCTCTAGTGGGTACATAAGGCGTCAGCAGCTCTTTCAGATAGGACGGCGCCAGGTCATGTAAGCAGCAGTAGCACAAAGTTGCGATTTTGTACTCTATGCGAGCACGCACCGGCAGCCAATGCAACTCTCTCAGAAGTGTTTTTGCATGGTCGAACTTGCGTTTGCGGAGAACAATGCGAGCCGCATTATTCTGTGCTATTTGAATTTTATCCAGGAGCGTAGCTGGAAGACCCACCATGAGAGCATTGCAATAGTCCATGCGTGATGGCACAAATGCAGACATCAGCCTCTTTGTTGCATCAATTGTTAGGAAGGGCCTGATGTGACTAATCCTGCGCAGCTCCAGAAAAATCGCCTTGCATAGCATGTTAATATGACTTTCAAAAGTTAGTCTTCTATCTAGGTAGACACCCAGGTACCGCACTGTTGGAGCTAACTCAATACGCACACCTGAGAGAGTAATGGATGTCGTGTTATTTGCAGATTTTTACTTCTGAACGGTCGCGATGGGGAGCAGCTCAGTCTTATCATCATTTAATTTGAGCTTGTTTATGGTCATCCAGTGCTGTAGGAGAATGGTGGAGATCGCGAGTGAAATAATTATTGTTGAAAAAAAATTATTTACTTTATGTATATTAATATGCACATATGCTTTGATGTGTGGAAAGTCGGAACATTGCCGAAACTGGTCGTAGGATACAATACCCACGTGAAAATTAACCAAGGTGGTTCAGGTGTTATGAAACAAATATTGACGTGGGGAGAGGAGGCGTGCATTTTTTGGAGTACGACATCCTTTGTGTACACTTTGTAATACTTTATATACTTGCACACTTTTAGATACTTTTTATGAACATTCAAACAAAAAAATGTGTGAATAATGTTACGTGATTCAAGGCCAAGGACCCCCTGCCCCCCCACCACCCCAACCCCCCAACACCCCCCCCCCCC